AAATCTTGAGGGAATAATGATCAGAAACAATCAGTTCAATTAATTAATTATAAACTTCCTTTGTTTAATAAATTATTTAATTTTAAATGTAAAACATGTTTTGATAAACTTTTCTTCTTCCGTATCTAGCACATTTATTGAATAAAAAGAATTGTGTATTTTTAATTGTATTTGAATTTCCATCCAAACAGAGCTTGACACTAATCAGAAGTAAAAAAAAAAATTTCCATCTAGTAAATAGTTAAGCTATATAATTGCTTAAAGAAATGTGTATTCATATAGTATATCCTCCTGGTTAGCAAGAAGAAGCATCAAATTTAGTGTTAAGGCAGTGTATGTGCAAATCGGATATTTTAATGCTTACCAACCAATTAGAATATACCTGTCTTTAGGAAAATAACTAAAAAATACAAATGCAAAACTCAATTAAAATCAAAGATTAAAATCATGCTTTCCTGCTTGCTACTTTTAATCCATAATTAAAATTGGTGATTTCAATAGCTTTGATTTAACTCCACAGTCTTTCTAAGTGTCTGGAAAAATGGCATTGTTTCCTTTGGCTAAATATTTATCTAATCTTTTCTGTATTGGTTTTTCTAGATTAAAAAAAGGAGATTTATTCTCACTGTACTATTCCTACAGCTAAAGTATGAAAGCACTATACTTAAGGTCAATATTAATAGCCAAAAGCAATTAAAATATTAGTTGAATTGATAGGTGAGAGAGATACCCCAGTGGTTTCAGACCAGCAGCTCTTAAGAATCATAGAATATTAGGGTTGGAAGGGACCTCAGGAGGTCATCTAGTCCAACCCCCCTGCTCAAAGCAGGACCAATCCCCAGATAGATTTTTGCCCCAGATCCCTAAATGGCCCCCTCAGGGATTGAACTCACAACCCTGGGTTTAACAGGCCAATGCTCAAACCACTGAGCTATCCCTTCTCCCTCTTTATAACCTATAACACAGATATGTGTTCCACAGTCTGTTCATTCATTTACTATAGAAGACATGTCAGAATTTCCAGTAGTACAATTTTAATTGTATGGTGGTGGAATGGGAGAACACGGAAGTTTGCAGGCCGCTAAAGAAACTTAGGTGGGGAAAAGGCTATCAAAGATAGTGAAGTGAGCATTAGCAATCTATGTTGCAAAATGGTGCTATGAGTATAAGTGTATTTTCTTTAACTGAAGTATTTTTCTTTAAGATGGAATGGTCAGATACAAACTGCTTCAAAATCTGTTTAGAATAGAGCAAGTTTTCATTGACTGTGTACATTATTTTGCACCGAGTTCCTGTTGGAACAGATCTTACAGGATAACAGGTGTGGGTAGTTGAAACACTGGTCCGCAACAGGCTTCCTAAATCATTCTTCACTGCTTAACTTTCGGAGAGGAATATGTAAGTAAACTTCAAATCATAGGTATTCAGTAAGCTTTATTCTGTGCTTAGGAGTGGAGTATGATCTGAATAGTTAAAGGATAAATTATTGGAGGACCATTATTTAAATAGGTATCCATACATCTAATTTAAAATGTTATGTTATTGAAATACAACTTTAGAAGGTCTAGCATGTAATCCCATTTAGAACGATGTATAATAACTCTTTTCCATAAAGATTTCACGTGTGCTGTGGCTCATTTTAAGGTACTTAATATCTGATACTTTAGGTTTTAGACTCTTATAAATGCTAACTAGACTTGTTTTGAGAGTTAAAAAGTATCTAAAATGAGTGACAGACATAGATGATCCTCTGATAGCTGAACTACAATCAGCAGCAAATTAATACCCAAGTAAAAATGTACTGCAATAAAATTGAGATTGTATGCTGCATGTACAACTTAAAAAAATCTCATTAACACATTGATTTGGAAAAAGCTAACTGAAAGTCTGGCTTTGTGATAGGGAGGTGAAGATTATGCTGCTGCAGGAAAGCATGGCAGCATTTACTTTTTGCTGCTTTTGAGGTAAAAACTGTTGAGCCAAGACTGATGCAGGGAGGAAGCTAGTTACTTTGGATCAAAGAATATAGATGTGACGCACTTTCTGACTTTCCTCTCTTGGTGGTAGCATGTTTCCTGGAATCTTAAATTCCAGAAGTGTTTGTGGAAGATATTCCCCCTCCCCCTCAGTATACTGGGGCTCCAGTTTCCTATAGAGGATTACATAGGGAAGCTGCATTGTCTCTGCTGCAAAGGATTATGAGGGGTAGGATGAAATGGGGGGCTTCTGTTGATGGCACTGCTGTCCAAGAAAATTAAACCAAGGTCAGGGGTTTTAGGGGAATGTGAAAGGGATGAAGATTCTACCACCACTTGTCCCGTGTGGGGAAGGAAAAATTTCTGGCTACTAGAAGCAGAATAACTATTTGACCAGAATTTGGCAGTGAGCACAGCTAAGGAAAATTGCTGAGGCTGAGAAGAAGGAAATATCTTTGTCGTTCAAAGGTCCACAGATCTGTTAGAATGGGTGCATCAGCTTGATTTCAGCTTGAGGACAGAGACAAATGTATCTGCTGCTGGCGGGAAGGGAATGTCCTGTTCCCTGAATTCCCTCCAGGCTTACCTGCCTACCGTGGTGATCTAGCCAGACCTTGCTGCTGCAGAATTTTTGAGAGGAAATTCCAAACTTTGTTCAAATTTCTAACGATTTGGGACAACATTTGTCATCTAATTCCTAGCTGTGCCCAGTAGATTTGTGTTTAAGGAAGATTGTCTCCTCAGCACTGCTTCCCCTTTTCAGGCATTTCCAGCAGCTGGTGCCCCTTCAGGGAACGAGCTAGGCTGGAAAAGGCCAGAGGCAAAAAGAAATCTCTCTCTCCTGGAGCTCAGCCTGTTCTATGGACAGCACATAGTTCCCCCTCACAGCCTAGACTGAGTTGGGTCACCCAATTCTTTGCTCTTGGGCAGGATTGGGGAAAACTGGCTTCAGAGGCAAGCAGCTCCTTCTCATCACCATGAAGGGAGTGCTGCCAATGTGTCTATGGGAGGATCATGCTTATAATAATTCCATAGAGCCTCCAACAGCAGCTATGCTCTTGACTGGTCAGTCGCTGCCTCCCCTCAGGCTGCCAATGGAAGACAGTAGATACAGCATGGATAACTGCCACCACCGTAGAATGTGATAAGGGGCCTTTTGGCCCAACTCCCTCCCCCTAATCCATCTCTGTAACAGACCTGCTGGGGTTCTCTGTGATATCCCAGGCTGGGTCTTGCTGGAGAAATGCAGAGCCCTACTCCATGTAGTAGAGAGGGGTTCCGTTTCTGCAGACTTCATTCTGAATTCCAGACCAGTAACTTCTTTGAGAAATCAGTGAGTAGATACAGTAAGCCCAGTATCTTTGTGGCTTGGGGGGAACATTCAAGCTTAGTTGTAGGAAGACAGCTGTAGGAAGAAGAAAGAGAAGGGAACAGACCTGGGGGAGGGAGGAAGGGGGGAGGGGGGACTCTTTTGGTATTTTTTAACTAAATGGCACAACTAATCAAATTTGTGTTTTTAATTTGAAAGGATTGACAATACTAAAATTTAGTAGGGAAGCAGGCAGAACTATGTTGGTGTTGGTTTTTTCACTTATAGAAAATTTCATGCATTTTTTTCCTGTTTCAGTACCATCTGCAAGACACTGCTTTCTCCTTATTCAGTGCAATAATTGTCAATATAGGTGTGTTTAGTTACTTGTTAGACTCAAACGTGAGTAAAATAAGATTTCAGAACTTAATCTGGATTGTAGTCAGTCATTACCATTTTAATACAAATATGTATGCTTTTTCTGTTAAGAGTTAGCCATGTTGCTTTATATATAAACCATACTGAAACAATTTTAAAAAATTGATTTTGGGACAAAATTGATAAAATATACTTGAAGTTTGGCAAAAATCCATATTTATCATGATTCCTAAAATACTGGGGAAAATATGGTAAACTTATTTAAGTCCCTTTTATCAGAAAATGTGAAGTCTTTCTTGTATATTAAATGTTTGTGGTATTTAGTTAAATAATTCTGGTATTTAGAGAACCAAAACTGCCTGTGGTTATCACACCTGTAGTATGGTGGTCACGTTCTAGTTTCAGTGATAGTTAGGGACTTGGTTAAAAGAGGCTTCACATACTGAGAAAAATTTTCTAAAATATTTTATTGTAGGAACATGCTTTACAAAACTCCAGTTTGTCTCTACTTCTAGTATGTTGGAGAAAGCATGATACTGAGATATAAGAGTAAATTACAGCGAGAACATTTTAGGCTATGCCTTGGAGGCACTTAAATGAGCTCCCAACTACATAATAATTGTGGCAGTTGCATACAGATGTGCTCATGGCTTATTGCCAGTAATATGGCTACTTCGTTTAGAAAAAATTGAGTTTATGCCTTGTCCTTAATTCTGCTTAATAAAAGTATGAAGAAAATACTACTCTTTAAAATAGCATACTTTTTCTTCTAAGGATCCCTGTACCATTTGACTCTTGTGGCCCCAGATGACCAGAATCCCTTTCAGCCACAATTTGTGGCCCCACAGGCATTTTCAATTCACTTTATCATTATTAATGTATTGCATACAACATGCAAGGCGCTTTACAAACAAAAAGACCCAGTCCACCAGGCTTATAATATGATTGGGGGGTCAAGGTGGTAATGGCGATGGTAATGTTCTAATAGCACAATTATTTTTGATGTACGATATATAGGTTGTCTGTACTGTTCTAAAACTAAATATCACATTGGGATCCAGCTTGCGGATCTTTGGGTAAAATGTGCTTCTCAATGAGTGTATGGGACCTAGCTAGTGTAGATTTAGACACAAACTATTGCCTTCTCTGCTAGATGTTGCTTTTGATATTTTCAGTAATTTACCGTAATGGAATTTCAAAATTACACAGTTAAAACAATAGCCGGGGTACCAAAATGTAGTAATAGGCTTATTCTCTCTCTCTCCTCCCCCCCCCCCCATTAAACTATTATTTGGTCACTCCATTTTATTAAATATAGTAATCTTATTTTTTTGTAGGAAAATTGCTGAAGTGTGGACTGCTGCCTTGATACTGTAAATCTGCAATAAAGGTGGCAATGTCGAGAGTCCCCACCCCTCCACCACCTGGAGAGATGTCCAGTGGACCTGTGGCCGAAAGCTGGTGTTACACACAGGTAACTTATACAAACTTCAGTGACTGGGTTTTTCTTTTCACAAGATCAGTCTAGACAATTTTTTCTTATAACAGTTTGAACAGTGCTGACAATTCAACTAGTTCTCATTGGTTGCAGTTACCTATATGACAAGTGAGTTAAAAACTGAAGTATCAAATTGAAGTAATTTTCTACATCTTTTGTTCAGGTTAAAGTAGTAAAATTTTCCTACATGTGGACCATTAATAACTTCAGTTTTTGCCGAGAAGAAATGGGTGAAGTTTTAAAGAGTTCTACATTTTCATCAGGGCCAAATGACAAAATGAAGTGGTAAGATCTCTTATTTTTGTCAATTGCTTGTGGTCCCTTTAACTTAAGGGGTTGAAAAGTTAAGTAACATATTACACACTGAATCAAGAGAAGTTTCTGAAAGGCTTATAACACTGAGTATCTACTGTTTTTCAGATAAGTCATGGTTACAGCAACCATAAAAGGGGAGGGAAATACAAGGGCAACATTAACTTGTTGGTGTACATCATCATGATGTATTATCAAAATGTTTCTAAATTTGTTCTGTCCAATTTAAAATTTAGTCCTTTACATTTGTTTCAGGTGCCTGAGAGTAAACCCAAAGGGTTTAGATGATGAAAGCAAAGACTACCTGTCATTATATTTGCTTTTAGTCAGTTGTCCAAAAAGTGAAGTCAGAGCAAAATTCAAATTTTCTCTTCTGAATGCTAAAAGAGAAGAAACAAAAGCAATGGGTAAGTGGAATTACAAATGGTGTAATGCAGGCTTTTAAGGAAATCCCCATGAAATTAAACTCTGAAATGAACTTACTTTTACTTTTAAAATAGAGAATTAAACACTGAGGCAAACTTTAAAGTATCTAATGTTTAAGATCCTCATATGATCTTCATTCAGTATTTAAAAAAAAAACTTATTTCGTATTTTGTACCTCTATGAACATTGAGCTAACCTCGTAAATTATAATAGATTGCTAACCACAGTCATTTCAGATTCAATCTTTATTCTGTTTTCTGGCTCTTGTAGTGGGTTCTGTTTTATGTTACCCTAATTTTGTTTCTTTTTATAGAGGATTTATTAACTTATTGTTGATCATATGCTGACACTTGCTGATCGATTTCCATATTAATTACGTTGAAATACTTTTTATTGGCATCTCTTTACACGCGTGTAGAAAACGCTAAACTTTGGTCTACTTCTTCCCAGTTGCAGTATAGTCAGTCCCAAGCTTTCAGAAATCATGAGCCAGGTCCCCAAAAGATCATGAGATTAAAAAAGAAAAAAAATGGGGTTCTTCGTATATATGCCTTCTTGCTTTTGAGCCTTTGGTTTCATGTTTTCAAATTTTTCTCTCACAGGATGAGGTATAGAAACTTTTTTTTTACATGAAAGTTCAGATTCTCCTGTAACTACATGATTCAAGGAGCTGGAGTGCTTAAGAAAAACACCAAATATGATGAGACTGTGCAGCAATGCAGTTAGTTAACTGTTTAAATGTTCAGACACTCAAAAATGATGTCTGCACAGGTTGGCAGATCTCTGGATGGGAAATTCAGAGCACACCAGAACCACTGGGCTTACTTGAATTTTTGGGTCTTTATTGTTTTCTATCTCAGGATGATCCAGACTCCTCAGGCTATACCTCCTGTAATTTCTCACCTTACATAACTACACCTGTGTGCATTACTTAAATAATTTCCAAAAACAGAACACAGGCCCCAAATAATACAACATGGAACCCTGTACAGATGTGCGTTGGGGTAACATTATAATATGCAAATTATATGCCTGCCAGAGCTAGTTCTTCCTCTCCTGTCTACCATAGGCGGAAACAACATATTCCATCCCTTTAAGCCTTCTAGTTTACTCCTGTATGTGTTGACAGGATAACATTCTTTATTTAGTTTAATACAATCTCCCTATCCATTCATGCAATTAATTAAAGGTATAGTTCATGATGTCTAAAAGATGTCTCCATTTCAAATAAGAAGTGAAGAGGGATCATATGTTAGAGAGCTATTACTTTTCACTCACTCTTTATTTTAAACACTGACAAGCAAGAAATGCTGAAGCCAGTGTTTTGGGTTTTTTACTCTAGTTTGAAAATCAGAAATAAGCAAACTTCCCACCCCTTGCAGTTTTTGTAGTGGCAACTCTTAAGTTTAGAGTCCACAGCTGACACACTTTTGGGCCCTATGGTCGAATACCTGTACTCTTGAATCTTGTTTTCATTGCCTTTCTAATTATTTTTTTTAGGTTCCTATTGGCTCCTGAATCTGGAGCTGCTTTATTTTTATTTAACCTTAGCCATCCTTTTGTGTTGTATTTATCCAAGCTCTAGGCATCCATTATGTTGACTAAAGATGCAGAGCCCTGTCCACAATTCTCCTTGACATGAAGGGAATTGTGCGTGGAATGGATAAAGAACTGATCCTTTAATTTTTTAAATTCTAGTGAAGTAACTATTTTCATGTTGCTTTACTTCTCTAAAAAGCAACAAAGAGTTCTGTGGCACCTTATAGACTAACAGACGTATTGGAGCATAAGCTTTCGAGGGTGAATACCACTTCGTCAGACGCATGTGGTGGAAATTTCCAGAGGCAGGTATAAATATGCAGGCCAGAATCAGTCTGGAGATAACAAGGCCAGTTCAATCAAGGAGGATGAGGTCCTCTTCTAGCAGTTGAGGTGTGAAAACCAAGGGAGGAGAGGTGCCACAGGACTCTTTGTTGCTTTTTACTGATCCAGACTAACATGGCTACCCCTCTGATACTTTACTTCTCCGGTATTGTAAACCCCTAACAAACTGCTGTGTTTTCAGTTTAATTTTGGTTGCTGATTTTATGTAGATAGCTTTCTAATTTTAACTTATGAAGTTGGAGGTTATTGCTAGGCTGATTCTAGAGATATTTAATTTGAACACCCTTTGTTTTCCTCTTTCTGGAAGTTATTTTGTGATTGAAGTTTTACAATGTTATGAGTTTTGAGATGTTGGTCAAGAAGAATCAAAAACATGCCCCAAGGTACCTTAAAGTTGAGAGGATTGACTCTAATCAAAGCAATATAAATCATTGATTTAAATTCTTTAAATCAGCGAGCAGGAAACCTTGATTTAAATGACTTTAATCTTATTTTTCATCTATACTTTTTTGTATTTCCCTAAAGAGAGGGTGAGTTTCATTGGTTGATATCCGTTAAAACATGGTTGACTTACAACTAAATATAGCCATTACACTAAACTTGGTACTTTTTGCTATCCAGGAGGATATGCTATTTATACAAACTTATTTAGGCGATTTTATAGCTTGACATAAACTCATTTAGATTCTTGATATTTACATTTTTTTTATTTATGTTAAATGGTGAATGGTGCAAGCTCTCTTTGGATGAAAATTCATTGAAATGCACAAAAACAGCATTTTAAAATCTTTTAGTTAAATAAAACTATTTTAAATGTGCTGGATAGACAAGAAAAAGTATTTTAATAAACCATTTTGCATTTAAAACTAACTGATTTATTAAACAAAGGGAGTATTTTCTGTAGTTACTGAATTGAACTCATAGACTGTAAGGCCAGAAGGAACAAATGTGATCTGATCTGGTCACCGTGTCTAGAACTAGTAGATCTCTTCCTCAGACCTAGTTTTTTATTCATAGATTAGAAGAGGAAAACAAGCTTTTTTGACTTTCAACTCTCAATCAGTTCCTCAACCTTGCATGTACTAATCATTGAACTGAACTACTTGAATAAGCTGAAATGAAGAAAATATTCTCTCTGCACCTGCAGTAGAGGCTACTGCCAAAGGCTAGTTTTTACTCTGGTTCCAGGTGCTTAATCACTGCCTTCCACCTGTTCCATGGTTTGATTTTCTTTAAAACTTGACTACAAACATGTATTGCTTCATATTATTTTTGTATTTAATTTAAATCATGACAATAAGCTTAGGGCTAACATAGGTTCTCATAATTTCAAATTCAATTTAAAGAGTTTTTTTTTAAATATAATTTACAATTAAATATATTTTAAACTACTTTTATCCACTCTGTTTAACAATATATTATTAAATGGCTAAGAAGGAGGACAACATCTTGCTGCCTGGCAAATCAACAGGTCTGCAGGCGAACTTCCACTATTCTCTTGCCTCTTGAGGCCCAGATTAACATTATACCAGTTGAATTTGCCTCTGCTTCTGTACTCTATGGTAGTGGCTGCTTGACTAGATTTTATAGAATCATACCATAAGTGACGGCAGTTAGTTTTCCCAGTCCATTATATCATGCAATCAATTCTATTGCCGTTTTCAATTTTTTCCCATCCAGTGTTGCCACAAAAATAAAATTAACTGCAGAAGAAAGAAATTAGACATTCCTATAACTTTATATTTGAGCTTATTTGTATTCATTAAATTATTTTGACTGACAGTGCTACAGTTTTTTACCTTACCATATTATAAAAGTTACTGAGCTGTCAAATGAAGATAGCTGAAGTAGGAATTGGGCACTTCTTTGTTATAGATGGATTTATTTTGAAAAAAATTCACTAACGATTTCATGTCGGCACAGTTCTGAGAAGGCTTCTCCACATACAAACTATAAAAGTTTCCGTAGGACGTAATTCTTGAAGTATTTTTCAGAATTCCCAGGCATCTCAAAGCTGTTTCTTTTTATCCAAAGAAGGTAAAAATTAACATTTTTCAGTACTAAGCAACAGAGGGTCCTGTTGCACCTTTAAGACTACAGAATTTTTCAGTACTATTGGGTTGGTTTTTGAGTGGAGAGGCAAGTTGTTTTTAAAACAAATCTTGATATTTCTGAAACTGGCTGAGGACCTGCATATGACAAAATGTAACCAAATAAATTGCCAGTTTTGATTATTCTGTATGTCAAGCCTTCTACATCATAATGACCAGACTATTAGTGTTGGCAAATCAACATGACCAGAAGAAAAGGGGGCGGGGGGGAGGAACAAGAGGAAGAGGTGGATGAGGCATTTCTAGAATAAATAACAGAAAGTGCCAAAGCACAAGACCTGGTAGTAATGGGGGACTTGACCTACTTAGACATGTGTTGGGAAAGTAATACAGCAAAACATAAAATGTCCTGTACATTCTTAGATTGTATTGGGACAACTTCCTGTTTCAAGAAGGTGGTAGCAGGTTTCTGGAAGACAACCATATTATCCTTGATTCTGACTAACAGGGTGGAATTGGTTGCAAATCTGAAGGGTGACGGCAATTTGGGTGAAAGTGATCATGAACTAATAGATTTCATGATTCTGAGAAAAGGTAGATGGGAGAACATCAGAATAAGGACAATGTTTAAAAAAAAAAAATCAGAGTAGTAGTGAGTAAAGTCCCAGGGGAAGGAAATCTAGGGATAAAAGGGAGCAGTGTCTCAAGAAGATAACATTAAGGTGCAATGGGAAACTATCCCTATTCTTCCTGTCTTTCCTGTCAATAGGAAGAGGCTAATATGGTTCCACCAGGAGCTCTTTATTTACCTGAAAATCAGAAAGGAATTCTATATAAATAGGAAACCTGGACAAATTGCTATGGATGAGTAGAAAAGAATAGCACAAGCAAGTAGGTAGAAAATCAGAAAGACGAAGGCACAAAATGAGTTACACCTAGCAAGGGACGTAAAAGGCACTAAGAGGAGGTTCTATAAATATATTAGGAGCAAAAGAAAGATGAAGAAAAGCATAGGTTCTCTTCTTAGTGTGAAAGGAGAGCTAACAATGAGCGACATCAAAAAGGCTGAGGTATTTAATGCCTATTTTGCTTCAGTCTTCACTAAACTGGTAAATTGTGATCAGGTACTTAACACAATTAATATTAACAACAAGGAGCGCAAGCCAAAATAGGGATGTAACAGATTAAAGAATATTTAGATAAGTTAGATGTATTCAAATTGACAGGATTCACCATAGGGTCCTTAGAAAAACTTAAGTAATCTTGGTAATGTTAGCAGTTATATTTGAGTTTCCTGGAGGATGGGAGAAGTCCAAGAGGATAGAAGAAAGGTACTATGTTTGCCTATCTTTAAAAAAGGAAACAAAGCGGAACCAAAGAATTATAGACCCAGTCAGTCTAACTTTGATACCTGGAAAGATACAGGAACAAATTATTGAACAATCAATTTGAAAGTGATAAATATTAGCCAACTTGGCATGATTTGTTCTTGACAATTCCAAACCAACCAAATTTTTTTCTTTTTGTTTTCTTTTTTTGACAGGGTTACTGGCCTAGTGGAAGGGGAGTGGGCTGGGGCGGGGGGAAGGTATAGACGTGCTGTATCTTGATTTCAATAAGGCTTTTGACACAGCGCATATTAACTTCATAAGCAAACTGGAGAAATGTAATCACGATTAAATTACTCTAAGGTGGTTGTGAAACAGATTGAAAGACAGTACTCGAAGTAGTTATCGATGGTTTGCTATTAAACTGAGAGGACATATCTAGTGGGGTCCCACAGGGGTCTGTCCTGGGTTTGGTACTAGTCCATATTTTCCTTAATGTATTAGATAATGAGATAGAGAATATGCTTATAAAATTGGTGGAGAACACCAAGCTGAGGGACGTTGCACACACTTTGGAGGACAGGTTTAGAGTTCAAAACTACCTTGGAAATTGGAGAATTGGTTAGATATCAGCAAGATGAAATTGAAGTGTAAAGTATTATGCATAGGAAGGAAAAATTTCCAGTGCACAGCTACAGAATGGGGAATCACTAGCTAAGAAGTAGTACTGCTGAAAAAGGTCTGGGGTTATAGTGGATCACATATTGAATAAGTCAACAATGTGATGCAGTTGCAAAAAAGGCGAGTATAATTCTGTGTTGTATTAAGAGGAGTGTTGTATGTAAGACGTAGAAAGTAATTGTTATGCTCCACTCAGCACTGCTGAGGCCAGTTCTGGGTGCCATACTTCTAGGAAAAATGTGGACAAATTGGAAAGAGTCCAGAGGAGAGGTTGCATGAGCATGTTGTTGGGGTTCAAGAAATCGTAAATTCTAGTCCTTGTTCTATTGCTGATTCACTATATAGCCTCTGGCAAGTCACTTGGTTTGTCTGTTTCCCCATATCTGAAATGGGGATTCTAGAGAAAATGTGAAGATGAATAAATGTTTGAGAGACTTTCAGATGCTACAGTGATGAGGACACTAGAAAAGACCATGAAGAAATGAATAACTTTGTATTCAGTGCAGGATTTCAATATTGTTGCAGTAAACAAGACATTGGGCAATGAGGAAAGAAATATTGAAAAACTGCCTTATGCACTGAATGGGACAGGGTCTTGTGGGGGGGAATAGTATGTGATCATGGAATTAAAAACAGTATAATAATGCCCAAGAGGGGAGAATTCAGGTTGTCCATGGAGCCTTATTTATGGCATTTCCTCACTTTCAAGTGCCTGGCTTTGCAATCTAAATAACTTAGGGTGTTTTGGTATGTAATTTTACATACCAAAGGTTTGATTACTAAAACATTTAGGATGTCTGATACCTAAATAAGATCCAGGTAAGCCTTTTTGGCCATAATGTTTACCAAAGTTAGGGTTACCATTCGTCCGGATTTACCCGGATATGTCCTCCTTTTGTGTGCTAAAAATAGCGTCCGGGGGGAATTTGTAAAGCACTCACAATGTCCGGGATTTCCCCCCTCCTCCGGCAGAGCAGAGCGAGCGGCTGGGAGGGCTGCAGGAAAGTCCCGGGCTGGAG